TATACCCGTTAGTGAATCATTTTTTTACTGGCCACCCGTGGGAATCAAACCCACAACCCTGGCGTTGCAAACGCCATGCTCTATCAACTGAGCTACATCCCTGCCGGCCATTCCCTTCCCTACCCTGTACGAATTGTGAACCGCTCATGAGTCTCCAGGTCGCGGCAGGCTGCAACAGAGCCTGGATTCGAACCAGGATCTCTAGTGGCACAGTAAGCACTGCAAAGCAGTGCCTTAGACCACTGCGCCACTCAGGAGCTACAGCGGTAGGGGAGGGAATGGCCGGCAGGGAGGTAGCTCAGTTGGTAGAGCATGGCGTTTGCAACGCCAGGGTTGTGGGTTCGATTCCCACGGGGGGCCAGTATGAAAAAAAAGAAGAATAATGTATACACTAACTGTAAGTCGCTCTGGATAAGAGTGTCTCCTAAATCATGTAAAATGTAAATGTTGTTCAATCACCGTGGAGTTACACACATACACAGTTTATGGGCTGCCTCATTCTAGTTCTGCCTAGTAAAAAAAAGTATAAACGTTTGGAAATGTGTGTTACTTGTGCTTAGTTATTTATTATTATTATTTTATTTGATAAGTACTTGAATTTACCTGAATTATTTTAATTTAAGCTATTTTGTAATTCATTTTCATTTATTTAATTAATTGGATGAACTATAATTTGCCTAAAGATGATTATTTTGTATTTTTGTCTGTCTGATTGTTGTCTTGTGTTAAAAAATAAACTCAAGTAACTCAACAGTTACTCAGTACTTGAGTAGTTTTTTCACCAAGTACTTTTTTTACTCTTACTCAAGTAATTATTTGGATGACTACATTTTACTTTTACTTGAGTCATATTATTCTGAAGTAAAAGTATTTTTACTTGAGTACAATTTTTGCCTACTCTACCCACCTCTGTATGTACAGTGGGGAGAACAAGTATTTGATATACTGCCGATTTTGCAGGTTTTCCTACTTACAGAGCATGTAGAGGTTAGTACACAACGATTTTCCTTACATGTTGTGCTAGGTCCTGCAGGACATCACCCCCTTCATCTTGCTGGAAAAAAAATAACACAAACACAGACATTCTTTCAATGTTGGGAACAAATTTTACATGAACATTTAAATCAAGATGGATTACGAGATGCCCAGCCTGATGCGCAAAGGCAACTATGCCGAGCGTGTGGGCGCTGTCGCACCAGTCTACCTGGCTGCCGTGCTCGAGTGCCTGACTGCTGAGATCCTGGAGTTGGTCGGAGACATTGCCCGTGCAAACAAGAAGCCTCACATCATTCCCCATTACCTACTCCCCAAGAAGACCGTCAAAGGCAAGTAAATTCGCTACTGCGGCTTCAACTTGACAACTCAACCTCCAAAGGCTATTTTAAGAGCCAACCAATTGAGTGGGTGTATACACAATTATGTCGACTATTTCTTACATACATGGCACTATATCATGTTCCCACATGAGGCCATGAATGAACAATAACACCTACTAGGCCTCGTTTGCCATAGCAGGCAAGCATTAGATTAGAACACAAGATTTCACTCTGGACTTTGGAGACTAATATTCCGCATAAAGGGCCGTCAGTGTGCTGTTGCGCGCGCACAGTGTGCTTTTGCCGGTGCGCAGTGTGTAGTTGTGTGCAGGCAGTGTACAATTGGCCTCGTTTGCCATAACAGGCTAGCATTAAAATACAACACAAGATTTCACTCTTGACTTTGACAAGTATTATTGCGCGCAAAGGGCCAGCAGTGTGCTATTGTACGCACGCGCTTAGTGGACTATTGTTTTGGGCGCCCAGTGTATTGTGTTGGGCGCGCGGTCCTAAAAAAAAGAAGCAAAGCATCCCTTCCGATAGCCGACAGAGGAGGCCTCCGTAACGGGCCAATCGGGGTGGTGGGGAGATGGTGTCCAATCAGCAGATGCCACTGCCGGCTTTATACATTTCACATGGGCATTTCGAGGCTGTACTCCGACTGCAAATCCACCCTTGGCAAAGCCTACAGGAAGCAGCTCAACGCCAAGTCTGTGCGCAGGAGCGCCTCCCAGTTACAGGCCCGGCACCGTGTCTCAGAGAGATCCGTTGTTACCAAAGGGCCACTGAGCTGCTCATCCGCATTGTGCCCTTCCAGCGCCTGTGGAGAAAAATCGCCGACCTGCGCTTCCAGAGCTCCACTGTGATGGCCCTGCAGGAGGCTAGCGAGATTTACCTGGTCGGTCTGTTCGAGGACACCAAACTGTGTGCCATCCACGCAAAGAGGGTGACCATCGTGTCCTAGGACATCCAGCTGGCCCGCCTTATTTGCAGAGAACGCGCGTAAATTATGACTTGATCTCCAAAATCCCACCTCCATATTTCCATCAAAAAGGCACAATTGATATATTTATTCGTGGTCCTCTGTAGCTAAATTGGTAGAGCATGGCGCTTGTAACGCCAGGGTAGTGGGTTCGATCCCCGGGACGTAAAAATGTATGCGCACATGACTGTATGTCGCTTTGGATAAAAGCGTCTGTTAAATGGCTTATTATATACGCGCACCTCTACATTTTTCACCATGTATGTTGTTAACTAACCCGTCTAAAAGCTACGTATTGCACATTTTACTTGCCTGAGGCGTTGAAATAAAAGGCACCTGCTGGACCAGAAGTCATGTGGCCAACACTCTGCTTAAAATCATTAAGAGCTATAAGGAGTCCATCAACTAACTGGTCAGTCAAGTCATATAGGGAGGGATTTCATGGCCACCTGCTGGAGCAGAAGTAATGTTTGCCAACAATGGCCTTAAAATCATTAGGAGCTATAAGGAATAAGTCAACTCATCATTCAAGTAATATAGGGAGGGATCTTAGCACCACCTGCTGGATCAGAAGTACTCTTCACCGTAGGCTCAGAGAGCCATCATCTCTCACCCGGTGCAATTTTCATAAGTATGTGGTAAAAAAAAATACAACAACAGCTCATCATATAGGCAGTGGTTTCAAAACTCTAAGCACATGTTCAAGTAGAGCACACCAAATCATACAGGTACTTGTTCACCACACTGAATCAGTGTTTAATCTAGAAATACATGCTTCGCATTGCAATACATGTTCTTGTAAAGTCATTGCTTTCCACAATGCAATGCTCACATCACTTTCCGTGTGATATTGTTGTTCATTTGTTCAAATGTATTTGACTATGACCTAATCCGACTGCACTGAATTCATAATCACTTCACGGTTTGGTGTTAACCTACCGATTTTCAACTGCTTTGCCTACTGCAGATTAGGAACACTGTCATGAAAATGTATGGTTGGGAAGTCTAAAATGAGGGTAACTCCCCTTAAGGTAAATGTCTGTGTCTGAGTGGCAAAAAAACAACAATGTTTTATAACATATTAGATATGTGCATACTGGCTGTTCTTAGGCAAACGCATTTAGAAGGGAAAGAAGTGGAACCAATTAATACTTTTCTTGCTCTTCAATCAAAACAAAACCTTCACAAAGTGGTGCGTTTTGCCCCAAAATGACCCCTGAGCATTAGTGTGTTCTCATTTGTCAGTAATTGACCCTGACATACTCCCTTTAAATTGTAATATTTTACTCAAATATATCCTGTAATGTACTACTATTATGATGATGACTATTATGATTTTACTTCACGGTAAGTAGAGCAAAATGCTGATATTGACAAGATCAGAGACTCGTTCGTTCCTTTTTTCAAATTCCCCGACAGTAGATGGCGCTGATGAGCGCCACTGAACCATATGCGCTGCACCCCGTAGTTAGTGACAGAAGAAGAGATACTATTGCTGCGAAAGACAACAGGAGTTGAAACGGTCACTACCTCAAGAAGTCTGATAATAAACTGAGCTGAGACTAGGTATGTAACAATGAAATGTCGTCCAATTGAGTACTCACTCTCTTAAACTTTAAATCTTGAAATACATTATTTGTTTGTGCGTGTGAACATGATTTAGTGTGGTGAAAGTATTCCAAAGAATTTAACATAAATACAGGAAATGATGCGCAAAAATCAGCCGCTTTTGCAAGTCAAATCTATGCTGGACAAATGTGCATTATCGTAATGACAGTTTTTTGATTACATGTTTTGTCTGCGCATTTGTTGGGTCGTATGTGACGGATGGTTAGCGAGCTCTCGTTTGGCCATGTGTTACTAGCTAACGTAGCCTAGACTAGCTAGCTAGCTAACTTGTAGCTAATTTCCCCCTAACCTCTGACACTCTCTAGCGGTTGGAGGACTAAATCACCTCGAGCTCAACATTTTAAAATGGAACTGGAAAATAATGGTACGTTTTGCTGCTAACGACACCCTTCTAACTAGCTGACCACCGATTTTAAGTGCAATTTGTGTAAGTGAAGTTAGGTTTTGAGTGTTTTGAAAAAAGTGATATGTACACATTTTGTGGAACACGCTGCATATTGTAAAATTCGACTGCGCGACAGACCACACATCATTTAATATCCAACTTTTTACCTCTGAAATATAGCTAACGGATTTTCTAATGTTACTAGCTTAGTTGCTAAATGTTGATAGAACTGCTAAGACAGCAAAAAGGAAAGAAATTGTAAGCGTTAGATAATACATATCACGAAAACAGTAGAATGTTGTCAAGCTTTATCATATCAAAATTGGGAGTCCTCTGACGGAGGCCTTTTGCACAATCTGCAAAAATGTATTTGGAACTTTGAACCATTAACTTTTTGACACCTATCACTGTTGGTTATGTTTCATCTTACAACAGCTACATAGAGGTAGTATTTAGTCAAATTGTACAATGTATGCATCAATATTAAACTAATTGGGACACTAATTTTCATTACAGATAACATCAAACAAAAAACGTGGGTACACTTTCAGTTATTGTGAAAACTTTCATCACCTTTCAATGCCTTAGCTCTGAAATGTAAATGTTTATACATATTCAGATATCTTTCTAAAATGTGTATAGTATGCCAAGTTATTTATCTACATGTATTAACACCACAGCACGGAGAAAGTCAAGAGGAAGCAGTGGAGTGAGGTGGACATGTTCCATGCCATGGAGGACTGCGGGGCAGGGATGGCTATTCGCCAGGCTGCCAAGGTTAGGCATCTTTTGTTTTTAGGAGATTACCAGGTGACCCGTGGTTGTTGCAGCGGACCACCCACATTGCTTGCACCAGAGGATGAAAATTATCTGGTGCAGTACTGTATCTACTGCGCCAGCCATGGGTTCCCCTTCACCAGACAGAGGCTGATGAAATACGCCGACAAAATATGCAGGTATTTGGTGTTCTCTGTATTTATGTATGTAGACTGGTGGACTGACTGTTCTCAATGTGTGTGATGTAAATGTGGATGTGTATGATGATGCCAAAACAAACATTTTCATCCTGGATGGACAATTACAGTGGGGGAAAAAAGTATTTAGTCAGCCACCAATTGTGCAAGTTCTCCCACTTAAAAAGATGAGAGAGGCCTGTAATTTTCATCATAGGTACACGTCAACTATGACAGACAAATTGAGAATTTTTTTCTCCAGAAAATCACATTGTAGGATTTTTAATGAATTTATTTGCAAATTATGGTGGAAAATAAGTATTTGGTTCTTGTATTTCTGGTTCTCACAGACCTGTAACTTCTTCTTTAAGAGGCTCCTCTGTCCTCCACTCGTTACCTGTATTAATGGCACCTGTTTGAACTTGTTATCAGTATAAAAGACACCTGTCCACAACCTCAAACAGTCACACTCCAAACTCCACTATGGCCAAGACCAAAGAGCTGTCAAAGGACACCAGAAACAAAATTGTAGACCTGCACCAGGCTGGGAAGACTGAATCTGCAATAGGTAAGCAGCTTGTTTTGAAGAAATCAACTGTGGGAGCAATTATTAGGAAATGGAAGACATAGAAGACCACTGATAATCTCCCTCGATCTGGGGCTCCACGCAAGATCTCACCCCGTGGGGTCAAAATGATCACAAGAACGGTGAGCAAAAATCCCAGAACCACACGGGGGGACCTAGTGAATGACCTGCAGAGAGCTGGGACCAAAGTAACAAAGCCTACCATCAGTAACACACTACGCCGCCAGGGACTCAAATCCTGCAGTGCCAGATGTGTCCCCACCTTGTGAAGACTTACAGAAAACTTTTGACCTGTGTCATTGCCAACAAAGGGTATATAAAAGTATTGAGTAACTTTTGTAATTGACCAAATACTTTTTTTCCACCATAATTTGCAAATAAATTCATTAAAAATCCTACAATGTGATTTTCAGGATTTTTTTTCTCATTTTGTCTGTCATAGTTGACGTGTACCTATGATGAAAATTACAGGCCTCTCATCTTTTTAAGTGGGAGAACTTGCACAAATGGTGGCTGACTAAACACTTTTTCCCCCCACTGTATATATTCTATTCTATTGTAGGTTTCGGCACCCAGGGGAAACAATCCCGCCACTGGGGAAGCGGTGGTGGGAAATGTTCAGGAGGAGGCACATGATCCTGAGCATGAGGAGGCCGGACACCCAGGACAGGGTGAGTGCAGAGTGTGCCACACGTCCGACGATGGACACCTTCTTCGCTTCTTATGAGAAGCACTTGGAGGAGAGTGGGTTGAAGGAGAAACCCAGACAAATCTATAACTGCGATGAGTCTGGGTTTCGTAGCGACCAGAGCAGGCACAAAGTGCTGGCTCCCCGGGGCGCAAAACACGTGTACCAGCAGGCTCCTGGGACCAAGGAGCACATCACAGTGCTGGCCTGCTTCAACGCAGCTGGGGAGGACGTTTCCCCGGTGGCCACTACACACTGGTAGCCCCCCCCCCAAGCCTTGGCTAGCAGTGGCTACATTGACAGGGACCTGTTCAGGAAGTGGTTTCTGCACTTCTTTAAGCATGCAGTGAAGGAGCGCCCTCTCCTTCTCCTCTTCAATGGGCACAAGAGCCACATGGACCCGGAGGTGCTCGCGGTGGCACTAAGGGAAGGGGTTATACTTCTTTGTCTTCCACCACACTGCACCCATGTCCTGCAGCCGCTGGACGTGGCACACTTTGGTCCTTTAAAGGCTGAGTTCTCCAAGGTAGCTGGAGACCTTAGCCATTTTGACCACTCCTACATGGTAAACAAATCAGAATTTGCCAGAGTATTCCGCTACCCGTACCAGCGATGCAAGGACATGCGCTATGTGGTGGAAGGGTTTAAGAAGTGTGGCCTCTTCCCTTTTTGACCCTTCAGCCATTGAAGGGTCCCGTTTAATGTTGTCTCGGTCCCTACTGAGTCCCACCACCGCCTCTC